ACCTCTTCTTTACGTTGGTCAACAGTGTGGAACCTCTTCTTTACGTTTGTCAACACTGTGGAACCTCTTCTTTACGTTTGTCAACAGTGTTGAACCTCTTCTTTACGTTTGTCAACAGTGTGGAACCACCTCTTTACATTGGTTCACCTGAAATGTTTCTATGTCGTAGCATCTTTTGTCACTGAACGTTGCTACTTTGTCTCTGTAACATGGAACCTTGTTGCTTAGCAACCATGATAGCACATAATACCTTTACAAACAGCGAGGAGACAAGGGAGGAGGGAATGAGGAGACAAGGGAGGAGGGAATGAGGAGACGAGGGTTAAGAGAGCGAGGAAAAAAGGGAGGAGACAAGGAGACACTAGAGATCATCAGTTCATTGGTTCACTCTCAGATGACAGACTCAGAACACTTTGTAGTTTATTGAAACTTTACATTGATAAACACAGCCGGGGGGGGGGGGTCTCCATAGCAACAACTCACACACATCATCATCATGGTTACTGATGCTGAACATCATCATGTATATCATCATACAGGAAGTTACATCACAGACGAAGAAGAAGAATCATCAAGTTTGTTTTCAGACCCAAAACTTCCCAGAAAGACTTTTACAAAATAAACAGCTCACGGCTGCTGCTGATTGGCTGAGAGCCGAGAAGAGAAGACAGTTAACGAATCACAGACGTCCGTTTGAAGAACACCAGAACTCTGAGACCTTAAATCTCTGTTCTTATCGATGGAGTCTGGTGTGTTGGTTTCATGAGTTGAAGCTTCACAGATGTTTCTACTTGTTGAATACAGATCATTGAGCGTGATCAGGTGTGATATTGATTATTAATATTAATGAGTCATATTGATATTCAGACGGACGTTTGTAGAGACAACAAACATACAAACAGTGCAAACTGTAATGACCAGGAGCCATTTTGGATCCAGGTCACCATGAAGCTGGAGTCCGGACCGGGTTGTGGGTGTCGCCGCTGTGACATCACTTCCTGTGTTTATTTACATGCAGCAAGACAAACAGCCAACAGCTGGGAGGTGATGTCGGCGGATTCTTCGCTGGTTGTAGTTTGGATCTGGTTGGTGAACCCGGTCTGAACAGTTTCATGATTGGCCGGTGTTGATCCTGGAGGGGGCGGGGCATACAACGAGGGGCGGGGCTTATCCTGGGGTTCAATAGGAAACATGGAGATATAATCTATACAACACATACATAAACATACATTCTGTCCACAGGTTATGTTCTTTAAAATGAATAACTCATTAATTCATTATCGAGGACATCT